AAGGGAACAACAAGTGATCCAAAATTGATGGCAAGGAGCGTGTAGGAGACCTGGTAGGGCTTGATCAAGGGTAATGTAACCGAGAGGAATTCCTGAAACCCAAATGAAGGCTACGCATGATAGTGGGACAATAGCAAAGTAAAAGGAAATAGAGGAAAGAACTAGGAGGCAAAAGGCATTTATAGAGGTCTACATATAGGCATGTACATATGTAAATATATTTATGTATGACAATGGGGAAATAGATCTATGTGAATATACTTATAGGTTTAGTATTAAGGTAGCAGATGGACATTGGGCCTCTACTCAAGTACTCAATGCAAGAACACTTTTTTCTATTAAACTGGCATTCCATGACGCTCACATTCCTGATATTATTGCTGAAGATAAAGTGGGTGCATTAGCAAATGCGGTGAATAAAGCTGATGGTGCTCATGGTGAGGTTCTGTAGGAGAACACCCAGTTCCCTTTAAACACTGCTTAAATATTTAGGAATAAAGACTGTAATATCTGCAACCCACTCCTAAGTGGTTCACCAAAAATTAACGCTACTTTCAGAATTCATTGAGAATGGTAAATATTGCAAAATCACATTTTAATCTTGGAAAAGGGGATAAAGATGCCTACCGTATTAGTTTTGTAACTTCTTAAAACTAGATTTTGCAATATTTTGAAACAACATGGTAGAAAGGAGAAGCAATTCATCTAGAGAAAATAACAAAAATGTCTTTTAGAATTTACATTAATAAAAATTCATCTTTGGAAATGTCTTGACAGAGCTGAAATTTTAAACCATAGCTGTGCCCAAAGAGCATTTTCATATCAAGTTCCTCTTTCTGAAAACAAAACAAAGCAAACAAAATCTTCTCTTACATGAAGGAAACTTAGTTGTAAACTCATGAGATCAAGAATTGTGTTGTAACTCTTTATAGTCCTCTGCTATTTTGCACACAACAGGAAATTCCATCAGCATTTGCTAAAACTTGGAATGAAGCATGAGCCACTATAATGCAGCTGAAACACATCAAACAAACTTAAACCAGAGGGCACAAATCTGCCGACCTTTCACACCCTGTACAGGAGAAAGTACCCCCAAATACTGGGAATCAGGTTTCCCAATAAGATATTATACATATAATTGTAACATATGGACAACAACAAAATAGTACAAAGACATTTCCAAAGATGAGTTTTGGTTAATGTAAATTCTAAAAGACTTTTAAGTTATTTTCTTGGGTCTACTTGCTTCTCTTTCCTACCTTCTTATTTTGAAACATTTCAAAATCCAAGGAACACTCATACTATAAACAAAGCCTATTTTAGGAGTAATTATGATTTGATCTAATTACCTTTGACAGCTTCTTTCATTACAGCAACAAATTGAGCCCAGAGAACATCAGGATCGATTTCAACCCAGCCAGCTTGAGGATAAAGACTTTCTACCTATTTATGAAAGGAAAAGCTTTCGTAAAAACAACATTACATCAAGCCAATAGTAACAGCGTGTTAAGACTCATTCAAATAATTGATAACATGATTTTGTTTACTAATTGCTTATTTTATTAAAAGAGAGCCAATGCATATATGCAATAAAATGAACTACAGTATATGTAAAACAACCACTTATCTTTACTTCATGAGTTTATCTTCACTTTCCAAGTTTTCTACAATGAAGATGTTATCGTTTTTAAAGACAGTTTTAGAAAGATGGCCTTAAAAATGATTTTTAAAAAGAGAAAGCAGCGAGTTCTGATTCTGGCTATGATGGAGTAAGCCCTCACTGGCCTCTCCCTGTGAAGGCAGACTGAAAGCTGGACAGAATGCATGGAACAGAGATTCCAGACCTGGAGCAAGTCAACGTGGCAGCAGTGGGAAAGACGGTGGAACTGGAATACAGTATCACTGATCTGGCAACGAGTTGCCCGTTCTTTTTCTGGTTCCCTTCTGCCAGGAGCTGGGCCCCACAGTGCAAAGGAAGCTCCAGAAGCAGCTCTTGTGATTTAGCTCCCAGAATGTGGAAGGGAACGCCTGATACTCGAGGGGGAGACAGCCCCCACTCCAGTGTTTCCCTCATTCACTGAGTTGTGCACCAGACTGTCCTTTAGAAAAATATGGCATGGTTCCATGGACACGCAGTATCTAGAAAGGTCAAATTCACAGCACCAAAGTATGCAAGTTAGTGCTTACCAGGAGGCAGGGAAAGGGAAATCGGGAGTCACTGACTAGTTAGTGGACACTGAGTTTTAGAGTGATAGAAAGCTTTATAAATAGGTCATGGTGATATATGGCACTGTGAGTGTAGTTATTATCACTACATTGTACACGTAACTCATTAAAATGGGGACATTTTTATGTTACATATTTTTACATTGTAAAATATCAAAAGAAAAAGCCATGCAAGGTCACCTCATGGGATCACAGCTCTAATTGGAGGAGGAATATCCTTCCTAGAGGTACCAGGGGGTATACCTTTCTGGAGAGAAGGTGGACTTTTAAATGCTTGTGAATTCTACTGATGCAACAATTACTTGCTATGGCCACCACTAATGATTCACCACCACCCTTGGCTGTGGGATGGATCCCAACTCCCAGCAATCCTAGAGGACAGAAGGGGACTGACTGCCCCTGTGGGTTTCCAAAATTCAAATATGGTGAAGAAAAAAAGTTCAGAGCTAAAATTATGAATACCCAAGTTGTAGAAGGCTATGGAGGACAGTGGGAGGCCCAAACCCATCTTCAAGAGTCTCGAACAGCCTTACTCTCAGGGAGAGACTATGGTCATCTTGATTATGCTGGATCGAACTCGATACCTGGCCAGTAGACCTCCCTATAGACCCGACCTGAATTTGTTCTGGGTGTAAGTATCTCTTACTGGTTCCATGACAAATTTCTTCCCTGACTTTTTGAATGTTGATGGGGGTCTTTTCTTTCTTATGCATTATTTGTATTTTTGTCTTTATACTGTTATGGCTTGATCCTTACCACCTTAGTGCAATTTTGTTTTTTAGTTTTCTGTTGGTTTTCCCAATTGTGAAATACAGTAGGGGTGGATGCATAATGATAATAACTGATACAAGGGTTTATAGGGGATGCAGGGGTGGGGATCATAGGGAGGAAAAAGGGATTTTGGTAGTAATTAATGAAGGCAAGACAGTTGAGGGAGCACTAGTTGTGTGATTGCACAACTCATTTTAAAGGCAATTTAACCATGGGGGTTGGGGAATGCTCTAAAATTGATGTGGTAATGATTGTACAGTTCTCCTCGATATGACTGACTGATTGAACTATAGAATTGTATGATATGTAAATTATGTGCCAATAAAACTGTTTTGGGGGGGGATCCATTCCCCTCCCACCAAATAGCCTTTCTGTCCTTTCTATGTAAGACTTTTAAAATGCTTCTGTAAAGAGTCTCAGTTCTTGAAATCCACGGGGCAGATCCCTCTGTCCGACAGGGTCACTATGAGTCGGAATTGACTTACTTGTTGGAAGTGAGTTTGACGGGTGTTTGTTGTTTTTTTTGGAGGGGTTTAGTACTGTCCTTTCTCTCAACTCCTCAAAACACTCAGTGTGACTATCACTGCTTCAAACTAGAAAACCTCAGACTGGACACTGACACCCAGAAAAAGGGCGAGTCCAGTGCTGCTGGGAACGGTTGGCCTGACGGCTCCTGCTCTCCCCAACACTCCGAGCATAAAAAGATGGGACTCACACCTCTCCTCAGAAACCACCAACTCACACGGCTCACTCACAGGACACAGCAGGGAGACCTGTTGCTCGGTCACAGGAAGATCAGACCAAAATCCCAAGAAGATAACTCAAGTAAGAAAATGAGCTGATTATGAAAAGAAAACCAGATACCCCTTTTTTTCTGTGGCCATAGAGGGCACACCATGGCAACGACTGCATGTGCTCTTGGGGGTGGTCAGTCTGTCCCCTGCTGCCAACCGAGGGAGTTGTTACCAGCTTGCCAGTGTCTCACAATAGCATCACGTGACGTCCCACTTGGGGAAGATGAGAAGATGTCTTCATTGTTAAACAATAAAAGAGCACACCTTCACTCATAGGATTTCCAACACCGGATACTATTCTAATATTTAACACCGATATTTAGAATCTCAAGAAATATTTTAAAAAGAAATTCTTTTTTCAAACCTTATAATTCACCTCTTCTGTTAAACATAAAAATGATTGCCACAAGAAATGAAATTGAAGACTACTAAGCCTGACCCAAACCCACCTCACGTGGAAGAGTTTGTGTTTAGAATTTTAACTTTAGTGAAACGCCTATTTGTTCTTACCCATAGGATGATGACTTTTTCTTTTTCAAGCCATTTATTTGGCATTATGAAGCAAGTCCTTAGGTAACAGGCTTTAGGTTTCTATTAGATGTTCTTTCCTTAATTATTATCCCTTCATTATTCACAGAGCTGATTTAACAATGTAGACCACCGAGACCCTTTCCTCAGGAACTCAGCTATCTGCAGCAGTGGACCAGATTTGTCTTGGTTTGTTTGTTTTAATTTCTAATTAATTTCTGAGCAAACATTTTAAAAGATAAAATTAAAACTGGTTTCTCAAAAATGAAAACAATAGATAGGCTCATAAAATCAATAACAATACCTTGTTCCTTAAAACAGTCAATTGTTCGAGCTAAAGGGCAGCATTTGTCCTAAAGCACAGATGGCTCAATGGGGAAGAGGGAAGCCAGGTGGAAAGGTGGCGGGAGCAGATGTGGGGATGTGGCCAATGTCATGGAACACTCCATGTACACACTGACAAATGGGAAACTAAGTTGCTCTGTAAATTTTACCTACCCAAACCCAAACCCAAACCCAAGTCACTGGGACCAAGTTGATTTCGACTCCTGGGCCTGTGGGCTTCTGGGACTGGGACTCTTCAGAGTAGAAAGCCCTGTCTTTAAAGTGCTGACCTTGTGTTTAGCCGCCCAACTTGTAACCTACTAATGCCACTAGGCTCCTAACGGACAATGAATACTACATAAATTGAAAACAAAAAGATGCTTTGTGTCTAGAATGATAAGGGAGGCTGGTGTAAAAAGGGCAGTATGTTTGTTACAAAGCCTAATAAGATGTTATGGAGAACACAGTCTCTAGGGCGGTCGGTGTCTGCCTTTCATCTGCTAGAATGAAGGCTAGAGTAGGGCCTAGGGGGTCTGCAGTGGGCACTGATCCGACACAGCTACCTGAGCAGCTACAGGGACCGCTGTAGTCAAAGCTCACTGCTCTGCATCAAAGCCTGAATGCAAGCCTGCTGTATTCTCAAAGCAAATGACCAATTTAGTCACTGCTTACTTGGCCCCCACCCCCACCCCCTGGCTACCCCTGCTCCTGGGCAGCTGCTGCTGTTGCTTCTGGGAAACACCCTGGTAGGATTGGGACTGGGTGAGATGCCAAGAAAATGAGCCCAGTGCTGGGAATGACTTAGCAGACAGCGCCAGTCCTTCCTAACTCTCCTAACATAAAAAGATGCCACTATCAGGAGGAAGAGAAAAAAGGAACACTGTTAACCAATAGGAACCCTAATAGTGCAAATGGCTAAGTGTTCTGCAGCAAATCTAATTGTCAGTGGGTGGTATAGTGGTTATGCACAGGGCTGCTAGCCACAAGGTCAATGGTTCAAAACCACTAAAGGTCTCTGTGGGAGAAAGAGGAGACTTTCCACTTCCATAAAGTTATAGTCTCCGGAACCCACAGAAGCACTTCTCCTCTGTCCTGCTGGGGGTCGCTGTGAGAGGAAAATGACTGCGCGGCAATGAGGTCGGGGTTTTTCTGTGTGGCTTCCGCAAAATACCCTATTGACAGTTCCACGCTGACTGACTGACACATAGGTCACCACGACGTCGAATTGGCTGAGTTCACCTAACGGTATTCATCCAAGAAACAACTGTGTGCTCATAAGGGCATTAGAAATTCACACTCGACTAAAATGAGAGCACAAGAATCATCTGTTGATCATTAACAGTTCAAGGCCTTACTCATAGCAAATCAACAACTTGGTAGGTTTCTCAAACCTGAAAAAAGGGGTACTACTATGAATTCTTCAATAGGCCAAGGAGAAATGTGAACACAACACAGCCTTCACCACTTGCTCAATATCTCGAATCTAAGCGGCAACCAGTCGCTCCTTTGAGGAACCTGCACTTTCACGAGTAGTTAATGCAGCAAACCGAGGGAAAGACATTACATTTCAGTACTACCACGATCTGAAAAACGCAAACGCAAATAGTGATGGGGTTGGAGATTTATCAAGGAAGTGCAGGGGGAAGAGCAAGCAAGTCCCGAACGCTGCTCTGGCTGGATGCGCGCAGCCTCCCCTGCCCTGCGAGGCGCTCAGTCCCACCAGGTGAGGCCGGACAGGAGGCTGCCCAGGTGACCGGAGGCGCTGCGGGCCCAGACGGCCGCTGGGCCCCTCCTGCGCCGGCCTGGCTCGGGCAGGGAGCGCCGGGTGCCAGCGCGCCTGGCGCCAGGGTCCGCGGTGCAGCAGGTGGCCGCGTCAGGCTGGGAGAGGCGGCGCCGCCAGCTCGCCTCCCGCGGCCCGCTCCCGGGTCCCCCTGCCCCGCGGCCCGCTCCCGGGTCACCTTCTGCGCGCTGGAGCCGCGGACCCGCGCCGCCCGATCATAGACGTGGCAGCGGATCACCGTGCTGCCCACATCCAGCCCCAGCACGAAGCCTGCGCGCAGCGGATCTGACGCGCCCGGCTCGGGGAGCCCCGGCTCCGCCACGGCGGACGGCCCAGACATCCCGACGCCGCCCGCGGCACCGCCGCAGCCGCCTC